ACGTAACAGACAGGTGACGTTGCGGTCTAACAATTCTTATGTAAGACCGGTCAATAGTGAAATTGTTAGACCGACGTAATAAACATTTCTTTTGTTGGACTTTTTATTAGTAAGAGATATATAGAAAGATATTTATAAGGGTATAACAATGTGAATTATTCATGGTATAAAAATGAAGAGTTTCGCTATTGTAGTTTTCTCACAATAAAATCATATTCGGCCCTCCTAAATGAGTAATATAAATAACTTTCACTGCGTAGTTTTTAATTTTTTTTATTCAAATTTGTACAAAAATGGAATTTAAAATGAAAAAAATATTTGTATAGATTAATAAGGATGGTTTTAGAAGAGCAGGTCTTTGAACAACACAGAAGTTTACAATTTCTTAATATTCTAAAAATCTATTATATGCATCGATTGCGATAAAATAAGGCCCGAAAATATATACCAATCCAGGAATATTTTTTTGTTTGTATCATATGTCCTTAAATATGAGTCAAACCATTGAATTGCTTTGGGGTCAAATTTGTAGCAACGTTGCTGTCTAACAATTCTTGTGTTGGACCAGCAGGCCGGTCAAAAAGGAAATTGTTAGACCAATGTAATAAACATTTTTATTAGTACTTAATAAATAGAAAGCTGTTCATCATAGTATAGCAAAAAATGTATTAAAAAGCTATGTATCCCCGATACTTTGATTACGGGGGCATACAAAAAAACAGAGCAAAACTTATTTTATGGGGGTGGTGGTGATGGTGGTGGTGGTGGGGGGGGGGGGTGATAATGCTTCATAATTATATACTTAAATTTCCATACCAACTTTCTATACAAACCAAGCACAGACAAGGTGTAATCCTTCCCCTTTGCTGAAGGAATTGGTTATACAAGTCTACAAATTATCAAGACGTCGGACTACCGGGCTGTCGGACTATCGGACCGTCGGAATACTGGGCGGTCACCATGGAAGGTTGACACAATAAAATAATAGTGGGAGTAAATGTCATAAAGAGTTGACATAATGAAACCGAAGGTTGTCACAATGTAATATTAATGTGAGTAACTGTCATATGGAGTTGACATTATGTATAGGAAAGTTCACACAATGCAATAGTAGTGTGAGCAATTGTCATAAAGAGTTGACATAATGTAAAGGAAAGTTCACACAATGCTATAGTAGTATGAGTTAATATCATGTAGAGTTGACATAATGTAATAGAAGGTTAACACAATGTAATAGTTGAGTGAGTAACTGTCATATGGAGTTGACATAATGTAATTGAAGGTTGACGCAGTGCAATTGTTGTGTTCTGCTATAAGGCAGTGACGGCGTTCCATAGTCAGCATTTGACTCATGATAAATTGTACAATGAAGCGCATTGAAGTGGTAAAATTTCCCATTCGAATGGAACGTTTTGAGCTATCTTTAGAACATTTATTGTCATCTTATGACACGCCCATTTCTTTAGAAATGGATAAAATGATCAATTTGTTTATTCGAATACCTGTAGAACAGGTTTTCCATAAATATAATAGCCAATGAAATTGACGGTCTAAATAAATACCGAGTAAACACGTGTTCGACCGAAACATGTGTTGTGGTAACTTCAATAGACATGATAAGTTCAAAAATATGTACACATTCGTTGCAATTTGTGTTTTACAGAAGCGGAGAGTATCTACCTCTCTCTTCTAATGTTTTTAAAGCTCCATTTCAGTGTAACTCATATCGCTTGTCGCGAAGAATGGGGTGTCCTAAAACTATACGACGAATATTTCTCTCTCGTTTCTAAAATTATGGGCGTGTCATTATGTTGTAATTGACGTTCAAAACATGACTCAGAACGTTTCATCTAAACGGAAATTTTTACCACTTCAATGCGCTTCATTGTATTTGCTGACAAAGTCATTGTATCGACCATAGAACTTACAAAATAATGACTTTAAACGAGACAACTGAAATTCTTGTTTCATCAACTTGTTTGTCAATAATTTACCTCGTTTTAGAAATTGTTCATACGTAGAGCATGCTCTTACATATCGAATCGACTGAGATATATAAACTCCATATGCAGATGATGAAGGTATATTGCCGTATAAGTAAGGGAAGTTGACGATAGAAAAGTTAAAGTCATCACGTTTATCATAGATATGCCAAATTCACAAAAATCAGCTAAACATAGTTTCACAGTTGATAAACTAGGTTCGACTGTAAACTATAGTTTACAAACCGTGAACTATAGTTAACAATTCGTTAACTATAGTTTTTGTCTGTAAAACTATATTTAACGGTTTTTAACTTTAGTTTACGAATGCTAATCTAAGTTTATCTGTCTGTAATAAAACGTCAACAATAAATTTTGTTGATAAACATAGATTCACATCTGTAAACTATAATTTACAATCGTGAACCAAAGTTAAGAGTTGATCATCATAGTTTTACAAATCGTGATACTATATCGTTAACTATAGTTAAGAGTTGTAAACCATAGTTTACAAATCGTGAAACTGTATTTATCAGATAATCTATGTTTTGCAATCGCAAATGATTGTTTTCAGTGTTAAGTATAGTTTACGGTTCTGAAACATATATTATCGCGTTAACCAGCTGCAGGGGCGGATCCAGCAATTTTTGAAAGGGGGGGTTCCAGGTCGGTGCCCCCGACCACTCATGCATAGAATCACACCAAGGCCACTTCAAGTCGGTAGCTACATTTATAAGAAGGGGGACCTCCAAAAAGAGTTGACAAGCAAAAAAAACCCCTATGCACCACACTCTAAAATCTTTTTTGGGGAGGGGGTAGAGGGGGATTCCTGTAACTTTTCTGTTAGGTACATAACTTTTAAATTCTTGAATCTGCGTATTTTCTGGCAAAAAAATATATGGAGGAAGCTACCAATTCAAAAAATTAATAGAACTACAGCAAAAGATTGTTCTCAGAAAAAATTAGCCCCCTCCATCTGCATACTACGGGAACATTTAAACCTTTCTCTTCCTTGATCAAAAATACCTTATGCATACTTCTAAAAGTTATTTACTTCTGAAGATGGTCCAAAAATGGCTAAGCTAAAGTTCCCCGGAATCTTCCTTGCATGCTACATGTGGGTGGTCAGAGGCCATAGCCGGGGTTGGGAAGGCACAGGAAGGAAAGCAAATACGCGAAAATCGACAAATCTAGCGAGCAGAAAGGTCAGAGATTTCAATTTTTTCAAATTATTAGAGTATAAATATCTATATTACAGGAAAAAAATCTCTCTCTCTATCTCTCACTCTATATATTTCTCTCTCTTTTTCTCTGTGTGTACAAAAATAAAGGGGGGTTCCAACCCCCGGAACCCCCCCTCTGGATCCGCCAATGAGCTGTTAACTATGGTTTACAAATGTAAAATATAGATTAACGTCGTTAACTATAGTTTACAGTCCGTAAACTATAGTTTACAAGCGATAAACATAGTTTATCGACTGTGATACTATGCTTAGCTCAATTTTGTGAATTTGGCGTGCCATACATAGAGTTTGGTTGTTAGATTACCAGTAACGTCTTTTTCGAGTAAAATATCCCAATATGATTGAAACAGATGTGTCAGACTCCGTGGAATTTTTTATCTCAAGCCCACCAGCATATATTGTATCGACATAAGAATGAAAATATTACCATTGTTAATTGACAATACGTCGTCGATATATCTAAATGTCGAGTTGAAGGCCACAGCAAGTGTCTTCTTCTCACGCATTATATTTTGCTACATACTAATGATTTTTCATACCAGTATCACATGGATCCGTATTTTCGAGGAGGGGTCACCGTTTTCTAGGGGGTCCAAGGTCACCTTTACTTGGTTTAGTATATACATTAAATAACTCTGCAAATTTCGGGGGGGGGGGCTCTAAATCCCCGCATGATCGGATACCATTCTAAGGGCAAAGGAAGGTATAAACTACAAGAACTAATACCAGAAGTGAGCGACACAAAAAAATCGGCGGCATAAATCGGTTTTTACAATGCATGGATCTGTAGCTCTCTGCTTTATCTCTCCGAATTTTCTCAAGCAGAGAGTACAGTTTTGTGGTTCTGCACTGCAACGTCCCTGTTGAAAGGGGGGGGTGTAAAAATACACACCAGTCGTCTTCAATGCCTATACTATGTCTTCTTTGCAAAAAATTTTGAGGGGTCCAAAATCCAAATATGGTTAGTACACCATAGGCATCGGAAACCGGGGAGTGGGTGGGTAGGGAAGATAATTACGAATGAGTAAAAAAAAATAATGTCATCTTCTCGGGAATCGTTGTGCCAAGAAAGATGAAACTCATGTGGAATCATCGTCAGGTTTTGTAGATTCAAATTTGCTCAAATCACTAACCCGGGGGGGGGGGGGTTAAAGTGGTACCACAATGCAAGTTTTACCTTGGAATATAGGTCTATAGTTAGATTTAAAAATAAAACCTTAATTCTTCTCTAGAATGAGTAAGGGGTTGTACTGTACAATTTATGCATTTAACGATGCTGGACCGATTTTATTTGCTTTTACCTAGCCACAGTACTAGCCACAGTGTCACGGATCCGAATCCCACTGTGGGACGTGTAGAGTTGGTGCTGGCACGAAAAAGATCCCTCCCTGCTCAATGGCCGTAAGCGCTGAATATAGGGAGGACAAAATTTGCAGCTCTCCACCGGAAACTGGTGGTGTCTCCATATGAGCGACAACATACGATCAATCAATCAATCCTAGCCACAGCCATAATACGTGTGCTCATGTGAGCGATGTGGCCCATGGTCATAAGCATCTTGTTCTATTTTTAAATTTTCCTCAGTCTGATTAAAATCAGCTCTTCTGATACTCTGTTGTTTACTGGCGTAGTAACATAGTAAACGTAGCCCATTAAACAGACTGAGTTTTTTCTTTCAATAGAGTTTCTTAACCAATAAGAGTTCTCTCTCTTTGTTGATCATCTTACCGCCGAAACATCATTTTTTCAAAATCATGTGATTGACCACGTGATTCTTATCAGTTCAAAATGGCAGAAGGGTCAAATCGTGGCAATTTGGATGATTTGACCAATCCGATGTCGTCAAAAGAAAACAGTGTTTACAACTTTGTACAATCGACGCAAAAACACACAGAAAACACAGCACGTGATACAAACAACCCCAGGCCAGCTATGGAGATCGGCCCATTTGTCAGTGCTGAGGTCGATAAGGCAGAAGATAGTTATAATGTAGAAACGTCAAATCATCTGTGGCCGAGGGAGGCGGAGCGTGACGATTTATTGTTTCAAGATAGTGACAGCGAAAACGATTTTGTATGGAATAGTGCACGTGATTCTACGATGCCTAAACTCGATTTACTGGAAGATGCACAACAGGAAATCCCCCCGACAGAAATAGGTGATGAAAGAGTCATTAGAAACGATGCTGATTCTAGGGAAAGTGACAGACTGCTGTCCACGTATTCTGATGGACTTTATAGTGAATATAATGGTCATCAGAATGGAACTATGGTTCCACTGGAGGAGGAGGACTCGATGTGGCACTGTCACCAGGACACACCTGCGCAGGTGGACAGGGTGGCCAGGAATCAGTTAATAGCCATCAGTGTTATCTGTGTTATCTTCATGATAGGGGAAATTATCGGTAGGTGTATTGTTATACTGAATGTGTATAAGGTTAGACTGTCCTGATACAACAATTATTTTTGTTCCTTTTTTTTAATTAACTTCATATGCAAATTATAATTTAAATAACTTGTAATGCAAAAGTTGAATTTCATCAGAATTAATAATCATTCTTATGCTTTTGAAATAATAAATGTGTAAATATTATTATGTAACAATATAGTGAGAGGTACATGTATGTTCACTTTATTTGTGCTATTCATAAAATGTTTCAAAGAAAAGCTTGCCCATGCAGACAGTTGTGGTCATGGCCTTAGGCTAGACACTCATGATTGACAAACACACATTTTTTGTGGCAATGCAAGATTAAAATAATATGGCATATGTAAGTAAATTTTGCCAAAAAATGGAAGAATTCAGTTAAATTAATAGCTCAATCTGACTGCTATGCAACATTTATTCTTAGAAAATAATATTGTCATCATAGTAAGATGAAAATAAATTTTATAGTATTTATAATAAATTAACGTAGGAACTAATTCCACTTAAATAGACTACAGCACATTTGGCTGCCAAGAATTTTGGCCCTTATTATTATCATAATATCACTTAAAGTAAACCACCATTTTCTGTGAAGGTTTTGCTCTACTTCTAGGTGGTGTGTTCTCACACAGTGTTGCCTTGTTTACTGATGTTGCTCACCTAGCTAGTGATCTCATTAGCTTCCTCATCAGCTTATTGGCTCTCTACCTCTCAAGAAAACCAGCTTCAAAGAAGATGTCCATGGGATACTACAGAATAGGTTGGTTCAGATAATAGTATTGTTGGAGACCTAGAGTTTTCTTGTCAATGATCAACTTGACCTAGTCTTGTGATTGACACATCATTTATAGACAGTGACCAGTCATTCATCCACTCTAAACTTATATGGTAGACAGTTTTGCAAAAAGATTCCTAGCTTAGAAATTTATTTTTTTTTCCCTATAGAGGTACTTGGAGCACTGATCAGCATTTTGATGATTTGGTTGGTGACGGGGATACTGTGTTACACAGCGGGTAAGAGGATTGTGACAGGAGACTACACCTCTGTCGAGCCCACCTACATGCTGGCTACCGCTGTATCAGGAGTTATATTCAATGTCATGTGAGTATAGACAACTGTTCAGATCTGAAGCATCTCTTATTCAGATGACAAATTCACGACAAGGTCCATTTTACAGTGAGGGATTTTTTACCATCATGTTGTATAATGCAACAAGGATTTTGGTTTATTACATGTATGGTCTCATCGATTGCACAGTTTGCCACATCTCACAGTTGACTTTGAATCCTAGAAATAAAGATCAACCTTCTTTATATCTCTAAAATGAAACATTAGATTATGGAACTCAAGATCCCATATCACTGTACCAGTATATGCATGACATAAAAACAAATCATTCTATAATGGAGCACAGTGTCTTTTTTAATTTTTTCTGGATTTGGATTCTTTTCTGACTAGAGTTTATAAACATGGTAAAGCTATAAAACTGGTTTACGCTTTTTTGTATGAGTAAATGGCGGCGGAAATATCATGTTAAAATTGCTTTTAGCTGTTTTTTTTTTCTAAACATGTTGAAGAAAATTGTTTTGTGATATCAATATCTGAATCAAGAGCTGGTTTCACCATGTTCTCCAAATAAGATTGAGATAACAAATTCAATTGATTTTAAATTGGTTTCCATGCATTATAAAGTATTTGTCTGGGGTTGTTTCTAAAACACACGATCAAAAGGTGTGGCTTTCACTTTTGAAAATTGTTTAAATTTTGCCAATGTGAGGATTACTGTGGTATATTTTTATAAGATGTTGGGTTGGTCTGAGAAAAAGCTCCCCAAACCCTAGTCTTCCTAGCTGGAACTGCTTTAGGGAGTTGGAGAAACAAGATTAAGAATTAGTTATTTAGCATATGTTTGTAGAAGCATTCATGTTATTCTGAAATATTATGAGCTAACTTTTAGCAGTAATGGCTATCTCATAACGATGTATTCAACCAGAAAGCATATACATGTAACTATGTAAGTTTTATAAACAGGGGGTTTATATTTTTGTACATGATTGAATTCCTGTACCTCTGAGATACACAATTACCTGAGGACCAGAATGTGCATTTTACTTTATATCATGTTGGGGAATAAACAATTTGTTGAATGAACTTGGTGAAATCCCATTAGACACTACAGTGTCAGATTGATACATTATGGTAACGTCTGTTGTTTGTAGCAAATTAGTTGAAATTACATACATATATTAAAGCTTGCCATATGGTACATCTTACAACAGAGGAGTATTTAAAAATACTTAAGAAAATTATATATATAATGTTTTTGGATATCTATCTGTATCAATTGAGAGCTGGTTTCACCATGATGTTGAACGATGTTCACTAAATAAAATTCTGACATCTTTAAGATAACAAAGTCAGTTGATTTTAAATTGGTTTCCATGCAATAGAAAGTGTTTGTGTTGGATTGTTTCTAAAACACAGGATTTAAAGGTGTGGCTATCATTGTTGAAAATTGTTTTAAACTTGCATTAAAGAATGTGAGAATACCTGGATGTTTTTTTTTTTTTATCATTTCTACCATGTTAGGTTGGTTTGAGAAAAAGCTCCCCAGACCCCAGTCTTCCTGGAGTTGCTATAGGGAGTTAGAGAAACAGAAATTAGTTATTTAATATAATTAACATTCATTTTATTCTGAAATGAGCTGACTATTCTTCCTCGATACAGAAATATATATATAAACAGTAATGGTTATCCGAGAAAGATGTATTCAACCAGGAAGCAGGTTATTTTTGTACATTTATGATTGAATTCATGTACCTGTGAGATACACAATTACCTGAGGACCAGAATGTGCATTTTACTTTATATCCTGTTGGGGAATAAACATGTTGTTGAATGAACTTGGTGAAATCCCATTAGACACTAAAGCATCAGATTTAAACATTATGGTAGCATCTGTTGTTTGTAGCAAATTGGTTGAAACTAGTGCTAATTGTACATACATATATGTTCCCCAAGCTTGTCTTATTTTATAGTCATATTCCCTGTAAGCGTAATTAAATAAGACAAACTCTATGCATTTGAGACTTTAAAAACGTTTACCCAAAAGTGTACTATTTTCATTCAAATTTTATCATTGCACACTTACACATGTTAATGCATGTGCGTAATGACCATATCATATTGTCTACACGATCTATATATTTTAATATGTTAAATATCAAAGTATTTAATCCTGGCCAAAAGTATAAAAAAAACCCCGCTCATTCAAGTGTATTTTTTATTTTACCTATTTCATGTGCATGCACGTGCATACATGAGTATGGTGACCATACCTTCTTGTAGAAGTCCATTACATCTATCTATGTTCTAAATCTCACCCCATTTGGTTGAAAACCAAGGGAGTTATAGCTATTTAAAGTTTCAGCCAATTAGATTGCAGCGCACGTACACGCACATGTATGCATGTGCATGGTAACCATACCTTCTTGTAGAAGTCCATTATATATATCTATGCTCCAAATCCCATCTTGTTTGGTTGAAAATCAAGGGAGTTATAGCTGTTTTAAGTTTAAGCCAATAAGATTGCAGCGCAAGTACACGCACGTGTATGCATGTGCATGGTGACCATACCCTCTTGTAGAATTCCATTATATGTATCTATGTTCCAAAACCCATCCTGTTTGGTTGAAAACCAAGGGAGTTATAGCTATTTGAAGTTTCAGCCAATCAGATTGCAGCACACGTGCATACACGTGTTTTCATGATAATTGCTATATATCATGTTGTAGGATATCGTAATGCATGGCTATTTTGAAAATTTCAAAGGATTTCGTCAAAAAACAAGAAAGATATTGAGACTTTAGTTTCAGCCAATCAGAGCAAAGCGCACGTGCATGCGCGTGAGATCTTGCTATTTTGACCATGTCATCTTGTCTATACTACTAATATATCCTTACATTATGAGTTTCAAAGCATTTCATCAAAAAATAGAAAAGTTAAGTCAATATACCTTATATTGGCCATTTAACGTGTTGCACGTGCTCGCTCTTGCAAGCACGTGCGCGCAAAATGACCTTCGTTCGGCAAATCTACATAACATCCCTAGTGACCCTAAAAAGGTTTTACCTAAGTCGGATGTGTAGTTTACAAGATCACTCAAAGACAAAATTTTCCCAGGAATAATAATAATAATAATAATAAGAAACAGAGTAAAAACAATATGTTCCCCAACTTCGTTTGGGGAACATAATTACATACATATATTATAGCTAAGTCTTATGATACATCCAACTGCAGAAGAAATATTTAAACAATTGTTTGCATACAGATGTACAGTAGAGGTTTGATTTCCTTTATGTTTTTAAATGAATTTGGCATGAAAACTGTCATTAAAAAATTAAAAGGTATATTGTAATGAACTAAGGTGTGCATTTAGTTAATGTAACAATACATAGTACATGTACTGTCATTATGTGGCAGACCTCTTAAGGTGAATGGTTTCTGCATTCAATTAGTGTTTCTGCATACATTTAGTGCTTCAATGTATAGTTCATGTGGTTCATTCATCTGTCAGAAAAATATAAACTTCATGGTAAAGGGTCCCATCCCAATGTATGTAAATAAAGTATTTAGCTTTCATAAAATTAACTTAATTCTTTGGGGAACGGTTCGACCAGTTGAGTAGACTTAATTGCCTCCTCTATGAATCTGAGCTGTTAAGCTTAAAATTAAAATGGACCTGCTACCTCCATAAGAAATTGCAAACCTTCCTGAAAACATTGCATTTTCCAAACTTTTTGTGTTGCCAGCATGGCATGGCAAATTTGTAGGGATCAAAATTAAATCACAGTCCTCAAACTTTATGAAAAAGCACCTAAAATACATATAGCAAATAGTGTATCAATCAAATTTTCAAGTTTATAGTCATTTTTCTGATAAAAAAAAAGTTTGGAATTAAATATGCCATGATGAAACTGAATGATACACCAATTCCATTTTCTCAGATTTTTGCAGTTGGGTAAATAATATAAAATAACAGATATCACATACAGAGAACTCTCTCTATGTAGATTTAAGTTAATTCAATATATTTACATTAATTCTATAAATATGGCAAGGAAATTAAAGCATGAGTGTTCTAATTAGAATCGTAAATGTACAATAGAAAGGTCTGTCTGATATTATGACTGGATATGATCTTTGTCATTCACATTGTTTATGTGGCATTTTTGACAAGCATTATTATTGGGCCTTGGATTCTGCACATGATCAGTACTTTGATTTTTTGTATCAATTGAATAGCAGTTTTACATACATTATTAAATTCTTTTAATTGAATTTCAATTTTAATTCTTTTTAGAATGGGAGTCGTTTTGATTTCCCAGAAGTGTGGTTCAGCCACGTCACATCTGAGATTTGGTCATTCCCATGGACACGGCCATTCCCATGGTAACAGACATTCACATGGTCACTCCCACAATTCCCTGACCATAAACAGTGACCGGCCGGACATTGCCTACAGTCCACTACTTAGTCCTGCTAGTGAGGAAGACCTGGCGCTCTCTGGTGATGCAGAAATGGAGAGTCCGGTCACAAAACACGAAAACATTAACATCAGAGCAGCTTTTATACATGTTATAGGGGACATTATCCAAAGTTTAGGCGTGCTCATAGCTGCTCTTATTATCAAATTCACAGTAAGTTTACACTCAAATTATCAATCAGATCTCATCATATTTATATACCTATAAAGGGAAAAAAGAATTTGATCTTCCACAAATTTTCAGTTCAAGAGAGTATTTGTCATTTTCCCCCTGGATATAAGAAGATAAGAAACAGCTTTTATAAGTAAATTTAAATAAAATATATTTAAAGCCCCCTCCTTCCCTTTAAACTTTTATTTATTTTAAATCTTCAAAAAAAAATATACCTCTGCTCAAAGTGGATTTAATTCATTTGTGCAAAAGTGCATGCAGTTTCTTAAATCTAGGCAAAGTAAAACACATGGAAGATGCAGTATTTAAATAGTACACATCACATTTATTCAAGATTATTTAAACAAGTTTACAGCGACAACATCTAAAAATGAGAATTTTACACCCATATATTTTTTTTTTAAATTCACTCAAGAAATAATGTAGTACCATTTTCCCCTAGAGAATACCCAGTACACGTAATTTAATGTAGCAGCAGCAAGATTTATCATCATATCTCTCTCATGCTTGAGACTATATATCTACAAATATGAGACAACTACAGTGTATACTAATTCTTTGACAATTCCATGCATTTGACAGTGATCTACATTTATATCTTTTACAAAAATTCTCAGTAACTTCATCCTCAAACTAATTTAAAAAATTTACTCAAAATAGTTTGCCCTTTCAGGTTTTATCTCTAAAGCCTTGTCATCTAAGTAATTAAACCTCTAGGTAACATTCGTTTTGTGGAGATACAGTATTATAAAGTACTGAGTAGTACAATGATTTCACTCTGTGTATGCATTATCGTAACAGATGTTGTTGATTACTGATTAAAAGGTATTTGAATTATACCAGCATAAAGAAAGAGTTTGATCAATAGTTTAAATGATAGTTGTGTTTTACCGGAATCAATGTTCCGTAATATGATGTACTGCTTTTAAAGTTCTGACAGTGGAGCAGATATTGGTTTTCCAAAGAGTACCTAAAAGCACATAGATCAATTCGAAATTATCAACATACACATGTATATGGATTTATAGACTATGCTTTTTTTTAAATCAATGCTTCCAATAAGCTAGAAAGGGGAGAACAGTTTTTTCAGTTCAGATTTCGCTGTAGTTACCTCAGACAAGAGTACTTGATAAAATTTTCTTGAAAACTAAAACTTATCTATGTACACATACAAGTTCTTGTTAATAACTAGGTTAAGACCTTGCTTGGGCTGATACCAATCTCTCGGGCTGAGATCAAAACAGCATTGTGATATTCTATATTTCGCATTTAGCCCATTTTCAAATATGTTGAAGATGTTATTTTCATAACTCGTACACTAATTCATATTGATGAGATTTTTTCAATTTTTAATTATTTCAAACCTTGACCTCCCTATAACATTACTTTAGTTTACTATTCATTATTTTATGTTTACCAATGAGTGTCTAAAAGACCATTCAAAATATTTCATCAAACTTCATTTCACTGTTACAAAATGGTGAGAGATTTTTCTACAGAAAAAAATTCTGACCTTGACCTTTCGTATCCTGGCTGACCCTATCTATATGTTTATCTTCTCTGTTCTATGTTGTAGGATGGGGAGGAGTACAAACTGGCTGACCCCATCTGTACGTTTATCTTCTCCATTCTAGTCATGATTACCACAGTCAAGGTGCTAAGGGACACACTTCATGTGGTTATTGAAGGTAAGATTATATTTGAGTCAATCTGCAAATATTAGCTTACCTGAGCAGAACGCTTGGGAGATTTTCTGGTATATGTAGCATCCATCTATCCAACATTATCAACTCCTCCAGAACCACCAGGATAATTTTAACCTAACTTCTTATAGAGCATCCTTGAATGAACAGAATGGTTATTTCACCAAGTCCTCTTTCAAAAGTGTGTGTGTGTGTGTGGGGGGGGGGGGGGGTTAAGAAATGGTGAAAATTTGGTGGCATCTTCTAAAAATCGTCTGAAGAACTGGGCCTCTGTGAAATCACCAATTTTTATGGAGTTTTAATTTTGTTGTTTTGAGGAAAGAATTCAGGTCTTCCATGATTATTTTTTTTAACTTTAGTATTTTATCTTTTTCACCACATAAATAAATCCCTACAAACCCCTGATAATAATATTTTAAGCTCCTCTGAGATGAAGACTCAAGAAAGCTTTCATGATCGATTTTGTCAACAGTGAACAATGTGTGATTGTTTATTCATGTTAAAATTTCATTGGTAAAGAGAGGGAAAAAATTTTAAAATCTTCCTCTGAAGAGTTGGGTCCAAGTAACTCAGGTGAGTGTTGCTGCCCACAGGCCTCTTTTTATTGATGTATACAGGTCATTAGGGAATACACCATTACATCTATAGACAGAGAGGGGGCCACATTTGCTCTATCTGTACAATTCTGTAATATGTGTAGTTGCAATCTTTTTTATTAAAAGTTTTAAGAAACATTGTTCACATCCCTACTGATTGTAGTGATAGGGTAGATTAAGATTTGGTGACCCATTTACTTTTGTGTACTTATATTTATCTCTACAAAATTTCTGAGGAACACTCTTCATCTCCTTATGGAGATAAGGGAAGACTTGATTTGTTTTAAACTCTGTGGTTTAGAGAGATATTAAAGTCCCAAGGAACAAAATTCATATTATTATGGGAAACAAGATTGCACTCCAGATGACAATAACCTAGTTTACTACCAAGGACTCAGTTATATAAATACCTGCTTATCATAAAGTATCCTGAACAAGGTAACGCTTTTTCTGATAGCTATATAGAATACCAGGTGAAATAGTTTAAACATATAAGAACTTTATTTCTTTACAATTGAAAAGAAAGTTTAAATTGTTTTTTTTTTTACACTGAATTCGAAAAATTAATACACTTCTCATCTCTCCTCACTAATTTCTCCCTTTGTAATTTAATGTAAGAATTTTTCATTTTCCTAACTTTTTTTTCCAGCTGTGCCAAAAGATATTGAATACCACAAAGTGCTCAATGATATCAAATCAATTCCTGGAGTTACGTCTGCCCATAGTCTGGCATTGTGGGCCCTGACTGTGGATAAGAATGCAGTAACAGTGCATATCTCCATTGGTAAGTCTGCGTCAATGTCTCAGTGGGTTTAGGCTTACAAGAAAAGAGAATGAATCTAAATTCACTATTGATTTCACAGCATTGCTTTTAGAAAATCTAATCTGTTCAGGTCTCTATATGATTTTAAAACAAATAAAAAGAGAAATTTGAAAAGATTTTCTACAAGAGAGATGCTGGATTTCCTGATTCCTTAGCTTGTCTTTCATTTTTTGGTGTGTCAACAATAACCATACATGTGAACTCAACTGCTTTAGGCAGAACTCTGCTGCTTTTACACTCCATCTCTTGTCTGCTGCTTAATTATTGATAAATCGACTGCTTTTCTACAAAAGCCATCTTTCACAAACAATCAGTCATAGATCTTGTTGGTTTATAAAATATCATAAATTGGGAGCTTACAAATTCTTGTTTACATAGAAGCATATAGATCTTTGCACCTGTTGTTGTCATGACAACAACAGGTACACGCACAGATCCCATTGTTTACAATGGTAACAATAAATCTTGTCAACACTCACTAGAAAAAAGCAGAGACAGTACGTGCAGTGAGACTCCACTGTATTCTAGACCTTGAATTGGGAGCCTTTATAAAAACGAAGTACTTATATTTTCATATATTAAGTAAAATAGGGAATCGCTACACAAAGATCTCATTTTAATTAGACTGAGTCTTGTCCATGAAGTCAAGTTACAGTTTAACTAGAATATACAAATTTTAAAACAATACCGTCATGTATGGTGTGAAATGATTTAAGGAATCACTGTCTACTTAGTATAGTTTGCCAGGGCATCAACGATAGTGGGAAACATGGGATAATTTGCATAACGGGTGAAGCCCTTTTTGCATAAATTATCCCATGTTTCCCACTATCATTGATGTCCCAGGCATACTATAATAACTAGAAAGTGATTCCTTATATTTCCATTTCATTGTGAAATAAAATTGTAGATTTAGATTTTAGAAATGTAGACATAGATTTGAATTACACGAGGACTCCCATGCCAATTTTAATAGTCCTCGCCCACTGACGTCAAATATACAAAGGCAGCCGCAAGAGATTTACATGCATATTTGGCCTCCTTTATGTCGGACACAGAGACAGATGCGCACCAGATTTGCATGCATATTAGACCTCCATAGCTTCTGACCTATTGACCTGCCTAATTTACATTCAGGTAGAATTATCAAGAAATCAACTCCGCTAACTTTCAAGGAGATATCACAGAGAAAAAAATAGAAATGGAAATATTTATATACATTAGAACTTTAAATGAATTTCAGATGGCTCAAATGATCATCAGAAAATTCTGGAAAGGACTTCTAAGATGTTGAGGACAAAATACAAGTTTATCTTCACAACAATACAAGTGGAAATGCACCGCTCTAGCCTAATGGAGTCCTGTCGTCACTGCAGCATTCCTAATGTGTAGCTAATGTGTAGCTCACTGTGCTGTCATAGTGGAAAACACTAGAGAGTGTTCGATGTGTTATTCCAGTTCCAGGTACTTCTGGGGCTCAAGCAAGGTTTCAGGTTTCCTTTGATTTGTGTAATATCTGAGAGCTCAATTAAAGAATAAGATAGAAAACTACATCCTTATGAGGGTAGGTTTGCACATTTCTTGAAATGATGTCAATATGATCCAGGATGACTTTATTTTCAATGAATTATGGGTAATAACAAGGGCTCAAAGTCATAAGAACATGAACACCAAGGTTCAGTTGATCTGCTCATTATATAATTCAATACCCGGTACATTCCACCGTGAGAATTTAGTACAATTCTCAGTTAATCTTGGACTTTCAGTAAGGCGTGGTATTCTTGATGTTACATAGTTACCGTCTGAAATATACACAGCTTTCATTCACTGTTGAAATATACGTGGGATAGAAAATCTGCGAATGTAATACAGTGTCTCTTTTGGCAGAGAAGTGGGGTTTAAGTCAAATCTCATCATTGTCAACAACAATTTAAAGTTCCTGATGTTATGAATTTCTTAACCAATGAGAATATATTCATCATTTGACAGACGCTTATTACTAAGTGCCGAGAATGCCACGCCTTACTGAAAGTCCAAGGTTAACTGAGAATTGAACTATCTTGTTCAGATGATTATTGTGTTCACCTTAATCAACATGTATAGTAGGTGCTGTGATATTTTGAGTTATCCATCATTGTGATAATTTTTCCATTTTGTCTTCCAAGGTTGAATTACATTTGTTTTGTTTGTTGAGCTTTTTAGCTCACCTGAGCCGAAGGCTCAAGTGAGCTTTTCTGATCACATTTTGTCTGGCGTCCGTCTGTCTGTCTGTAAACTTTTCACATTTTCGACTTCTTCTCAAGAACCGCTGGGCCACTTTCAACTAAACTTGCCACAAAGTATCCTTGGGTAAAGGGAATTCAAATTTGTTCAAATGAAGGGCCACGCCCTCATTCAAGGGGAGATAATTGGGAATTAATGAAAATTTAGTGGCATATTTTAAAAATCTTCTTCTCAAGAACCACTGTGCCAGGAAAGATGAAACTTATGGGGAAACATCCTCATGACCCCCGGGGGTAGGGCGGGGCCAAAATGGCCGACCAAATTTTTACATAGAAATATGTAGGAAAATTCTTTAAAAATCTTCTTCTCAAGAATGACAAAGCCATAATTCATCATATTTATATGGGAGCATGCTCAGGTAGTGTAGATTCAAGTTTGTTCAAATCATGACCCCCCGGGGTAGGGCGGGGCCAAAATAGCCGACCAAAGTTTTACATAGAAATATATAGGAAAATTCTTTAAAAATCTTCTTCCCAAGAATGACAAAGCCATAAATCATCATATTTATATGGAAGCATGCTCAGGTAGTGTAGATTCAAGTTTGTTCAAATGATGACCCCCGGGGGTAGGATGGGGCCAAAATGGCCGACCAAAGTTTTACATAGAAATATATAGGAAAATTCTTTAAAAATCTTCTTCTCAAGAATGACAAAGCCATAATTCATCATATTTATATGGGAGCATGCTCAGGTAGTGTAGATTCAAATTTGTTCAAATAATGACCCCCGGGGTAGGGCGGGGCCAAAATGGCCGACCAAACTTTTACATAGAAATATATAGGAAAATTCTTTAAAAATCTTCTTCTCAAGAATAGCAAAGCCATAGTTGATCATATTTATATGGAAGCATGCTCAGGTATTGTAGATTCAAGTTTGTTCAAATCATGACCCCCCGGGGTAGGGCGGGACCAAAATAGCCGACCAAAGTTTTACATAGAAACATATAAGAAAATTCTTTAAAAATCTTCTTCTCAAGAATGACAAAGCCATAATTCATCATATTTATATGGAAGCATGCTCAAGTAGTGTAGATTCAAATTTGTTCAAATCATGACCCCCAGGGGTAGGGCGGGGCCAAAATGGCTGACCAAAGTTTTTAAAGATATATATATAGGAAAATTCTTTAAAAATCATTTTCTAAAAAATAGCAAATCCATGATTGGTCATGGGACTACTTTTGGATTTAAACTTTACAATAAAAAGCCATTTTCTACTTTTTCCTACCCTTAGTGCTCAGGTGAGTGATGTGGCCCATGGGCCTCTTGTTAAAAATTAATTATATTGATTATTAATTAGTGCTGGTTTTTGCCCCAAAATATTGTGCTTACTTATCATTGTACATGTATACTTTATTTATAATTGGTTGGGTACCACTATTAACCCACCAAATGTGTACCATATTATTATTAAGAGTACAGCCTTGTTCTTTTCAAATTGTTTTATGATTTTAAATTTTAATTATGATTTAAAAGATATATTTTGCTCATTTTTGTGTTTTATTGTAACATTTTGGCAAATATGTACAAAGACTTTTTTATTTTATGTGTTGTTCTGAAAAAGATCTGGGTAAAACTTTTACTGAAAATGTCCCTATTCTAAAATGTGCCATGTCTTCAATGCCAGCTGAATTGAATTTTAGTTCCCTATTTATCCAGAAATATTTGTATGCTTATTGTGGAGCTGTTGAATGCTCAATGTTGAATCACGAGTTCTTTATATTTGTAACAATCTTAATATATCTAGTGTAGAGATATGTTTAGTTTATAATTTATACACTCAATATGAATACATTTTCCATAGCCAAGGGTTTTGGATCCAAAATCTACAACAAAGTAGATTTTGGATTGGAAATCCTTGGCTTGCAAAGGTGATATACATGAAAAGCTTGTATAGATCCATCCCATAGCAGATTCAAAATGTAATCAGACTTAGACACCTTACGAAGTATAAAATCGTAAGTAATTAGTTTTTTTTAATTTTCAAAGTATTTTCATTGAAATTTTAGCATGTAGATTTTTTCATACATGTACTGCAATAATCAGTGTTAACATGCAGTCATTTTGAGCGAATACTTTTTGCATGTGTCTGTACCACAATTTTTAATCTTTGCTAGTCAATAGAATACTGTAAGTCGTTTTAATTTCATGACATTAAAATTTCACAATTTCTTAAAAAGTACCAATTCAAATGTGATGGTTTTAATTTCACATTGCAAGAAATTAATTTTAATTTCTTGTACGCATTTAAACATTTTGAAAAACTAATAACAGCATTCACGATGGGTTTAATTTCGCGGAAAAATGATGAATTGCGAACATAGCAAAATTAAAACTATCGTGATTATTTTCCAATCTACAGTATCTCTCATTGTTTGTTGGGAACGTTGCAGAAAAGGGGACATAAGTTGCTCATGCCAGTTTCTTCTTATTCAATGGTTCATTACTGTATTCAGGTAAACAAAGAAAATATTAACACAATAATATGGGAACATAACAATTATAGTTCACATTAAAAAAAAATTTGTGTTCAATCTGAATTTTATGAACCTTTCCTATAACCTTTGACTGACAGAAATATTAATATCTTTATTGGTATTCTGTATCTATGTGCTTATTTTGTACACCAGTGTCTATTGGAACTAGCTGGAGATCTGTAGCTCTCCGAAAAATATATTGATAGATCGGAGAGCTACAGTGCCATCCATTGAAAAAACTGTTTATTTATTGCGCACAAAAAAGTGCTCGGTTCTTGATTAATTCTTTCAAATTCTTACCCCAGTTGCTAAAAAGGGAAGATTTTAAACAATCCTTTCTCCTCTATCAAGTACTTCGTAGTTGACATCTGAATGAAGCATATTGGACCGTATTATCTTATTGAAACCAAAATGGCAGTATAAATAAGCGAAATGTTCTATGATTACAATATCAGGGTCAGGAGGACTATTAACAACAATTATGAGGAATGTTTGGTTGTGGAAACAGCGAAAGAATATGTTAGGAACACACGATTGGTACCGGTAATATTTTGAGATCACAGTTTAAAAACATGGAGAAATAAATCGAGAACTGAGCGAACTTTTTTGTGCGCAATAGATATACAGTTTTTTCAGTGGGTGGCACTGTAGCTCTCCGGTCTATCAATATATTTTTTCAGAGAGCTACAGATTTGCAGCTATATTGGAACATTCTGTATGATAGTCTTCAATTTTGTGTATTTTATCAGAGAACATCATACGGTTGTTTGACTATTCCTCTCCTTTGTCTGACAAATATCTATAAATAATACAGTTATTCTGTGTTAATTTGCTCATGTATCTTTAATAGTTGTCTTTTATGCCTATCCATATTGTAACATTTTTTTTTTATGATATTCTTTAGTTTTAACAGAGAACATTGTATATTGGTTATATGATACCTTTTATCAAAAGAAACTTTTTGTTCATTCATTAGACTGAAAGGTTCAGTGTTAATAACCAACAGTGAACTAATAAAATAATTTTTTTAAAATATATTTATCAAAAGCCTTATCTTTTGCATAAAGGGAAATACTAACAAGCTAATGCAGAGAATCTGTGTCTCCTACTGAAGGAAAAAAAGAAGAGAAAGTGAAGGGCGGGAGGGGCATAGGGAGTTATGGTACTATAGATTTAATGAAAAAAAAAATCAAAAGGTTCTTTAGATATGGCCCGGAAATGAACATTATACACACACACATACACACAGAATGTATGAATTGATGACCTTGACTTTTTGCCCTCAAAATATTGAAAATAAATAGGGGTCCTCCTTAGGCCAAGGGGAGTTGTGGTATAAAATGTCATAATTGCAAAAGCGCAAAACCCTCTCGAGATAAAGCACTGACAGGAAAGTTAAAACAGATAGAATTTTTGAATTTATGACCTTGACGTTTTGACCTCAACATTAAAAGGGGTCTTTCTTAGGTCATGGGAAGTTATTATGTAAAATTTCATTGCAAAAGCTTAAAGGCTTCTCGAGATATCCCACAGAAAGGAAAGTGTCAAAACGCACATAATTTTTGAATTTATGACCCTTGACCTTTTGATCTCCGAACCAATAGGGAACTTTCTTATGCCATGGAGAGTTTTTGTGTAGAATTTCATTGCAAAAGCTCAAAGGCTTCTTGAGATATCGTGTGGGAACGAAAGCGTTATGCACAGACAGAACTACGGACGGGCGGACAGACAGACAAACCGATATTAATATCCCCCATTTTCAGCGGGGGACAAAAAATAGAAATGGTTTTCAGACCCCAATCACCCACAAGGTTAAAATTAAAGTTCTGAAATACAGGTCACATGCATCCTCTGATGTCATCCAAAATGTGACTGAGCCACTGTGGAATTGGGAAATGGAAGAGAAGGTCAGGGAACAAGAATCCTTTTTAAAAATGGACTTTTTCTACTCCATTCGGCCTCCTCAGTTAAAAATAAAAATTCTGGAACATTAGTCCACATATACAGGACACCACCAGTTGTATTCCCAAAGATGGATTGGTTGCAGTGGTTAAGGGAACCAAGGGCCCACGTTTTACAACGGAATTTGAACTTGGATTGATTGTAACATTTTAAACATTAATGATTCTGTTTAAAATTGCTATCTTACAAATATCTTACAATATTCCTTTTAAAGAGACTCTCAAACCTTTCGTTATATAATAAAAATCAGAAAGTTACAATCAAAATTAATGTTGGCCTTCATCGTAAGTTCGTTTGTAAAACGGGCCCCAAGTTTTGTAGAATAACATCATTTTCAGACTAAAGTTGTCCCCAGTGGTAAAATCAAAATTCTGAAACCTTCATTCACATTTACAGGACACTCAGGCTACTGCGAATAATTTAAGAGGACTTGAAGGAACCAGGTTTTTAGCTCACCTGAGCCGAAGGTTCAAGTGAGCTTTTCTGATCACATTTTGTCCATCGTCCGTCCGTCTGTAAACTTTTCACATTTTCGACTTCTTCTCAAGAAACACTGTGCCAATTTTAAAAAAACTTGATACAAAGCATCCTTGGGTAAAGGGGGATTTAGATTCTTAAAATGAATGGGCCAAGTCTCCGAACATTGGGGGATATATAATCAAGAAAAGACAAAAATAGGATGGGGTCATTAAAAAATCTTCTCAAGAACCACTGGGCCAGAAAAATTGAAACTTGTGTGGAAGCATCCTAGGGTAGTGTAGATTCAAAATTGTTCAATCATGACCCCTGGCGGTTGGGCGGGACCACACTAGGGAATCAAAATTTTATATAGAAATATGTAGGAAAAATCCACAGGCACTTGACGTTACTTATTTTTCTTTTTATAAAAAATATACCCCTTACCTAATAATAAACATGTTTATTATTAGGTAATGGGTATATTTTTTTATTAAAAAAAGTAATGTCAAGTGCCTGTGGGAAAATCTTTAAAAATCTTCTTCTTAAGAACCACAGGGCCAGAAAAGCTGAAACTTATGTGGAAGCATCCTGGGGTTGTGTAGATTTAAAATTGTTAAAATCATAATCCCCGGGGTTTGGGCGGGGCCACAATTTGGAATCCAAGTTTTACCACAACCTATTTAGGAAAAATCTGTTAAAATCTTCTCAGGAACTACTGGGCCAGAAAAGCTGAAACTTACGTGAAAGCATCCTGGGGAAGTCTAGATTTTAAATTGTCCATATTATGTCCCGTGGGGTAGGGTGGGGTCTTATTAGGTATTACAAGGGGGAAATCTTGTTTAGAACAGCATTGTCAAAGCTACTCAAGTGAGTGATGTAGCCCATGGGCCTCTTGTTTTATATTTAAAACACTCGTGTAAATATCTATCTTTTAAGTTGTACATTTTTAATATACATGTCCAATCGTATTTCAAAACATGGAGCACACGGCGGATGTGAGCGGTCAACAGTGGATACTCACTCCTCCATGGCACCTGATCCCATGCACCTCTGATGTTTTGGAGGTCCGTGCTTGCTCTGCTCCTGTTTTGTATTGTTTAATGGACTTTGATATTTAGATACTGTTCGTTATCTCCATATTCTTCATGTATAGGATACTGCAAATTATGTAAATAAAAAGGAGTTCAGGGAACCGGGGTTTTGTTGCCCCCCCCCCCCCCCCCCCCCCCCCCCCCCACACACACACACCTTTGATCCTATTTTGCTCAAAGGGTTAAAAATTTTCAAGGCACCGCCAATCATTCCAGAAGATATGCTGGCTACTGCTTTTGTAAAATATAAGAGAAGTATGGGGAAGGAGAAAATGTAACAGACAGACAGACGAACCATATTTACTTGGACTTTCTTTAGAGAGTGATATAGTTAAGAAAGGAGCATCTCTTTTTCCAAGTTGAGGAAGTAAAAGGTCACAGGCTTCTAACATAGGTTTCATTTGACAATATTATTCGAAAATGAGTTTGAACTGGATATATGAGGATACATTTAGAAATTCTTAGTTTTTTTCCCATGCAGCTTTCATTTTTACCTTGACCTAATTGTGGAATGGACAATCTGGAGCGCGGGTCACTGGAAGGACAGATCCACTGCTGATGAGAGAGGTTATATACTTATAGTTAATTATACCAACTGAATAACATACCCTTCACAATTATTCTCTAGAGTTCCTTTTTTACCCCCAAGTATTAAAACATGTATGCCTTTAAGAAAGCACGGGCATATTCATAATGAATAATTTAAATTATTTATAGCATTTTTCATTGCATTCTGACTTTCTGTAAACTATAATTTATTTGTTGTGTTCTTTGCTGCTGAAAGGATGATGATGTATTAAGCAATGGTGGTAAACCTTGTTTAAAAAATTACCTTTTATCGTTGAAAAGTGCTATTCTTATTGCTTTTAAAAATAATGCACTAAATGCCCATTTATAACTGCTAAATAGCCGATTAAGTGGGCATTAACTTACTTGTATTTACAGCAGAAACCTTTTCTTCTAGCAGAAGTCAAAAGAAATATTTCAGTTAATTTTAAAAATCGAAATTTTAAGCTGTAGATAATATCAAAATCTTTTCAAGTTGCTAATTTTTATTGAATAAGAAATTTTAAATTGGGGAGGCTTTATAAAAGATAATACCATGTGTTCATATACTTTTACACATTGCATTTTTTAAAAACTAGAATAATATATCGCAATATGATCATTTTTAAAATGAGAAATATCATTTGTGATATGAATTGATTGAATTTTATCTTAGTGTATTCTCGGACTGGCTGGGATCCAACCTTTTTAAAAATACATCCTATTTACATTCGAGTGGTAGATGGAGAACATGTAAATTGATAATTATTTCCTCCACACCCAACTTCCAATGAGGTGAGCAGGCATATTCAAGTACATAGTTCTAATCGGGGTTGGGGTAATTTCCCCCTTTTTTCATGAACATAATTTGTGTATTCTGAATTTAGATTGAAAATCTTCATTGAACGTCTTAACCCCCCCCCCCCCCCCGTCTCAATGCTTGATACAGAAAAAGTAACTTTTTCGGAATTAATCAAGTTTTTTAACCCATAGTATAATAACACATATTATTTTTTTAAAAGTATGTTCGAAACAAATGCCTTTCTTGTTAATCCCTTTTTTCAAAGAAATTGCAATTTATTTATTCTGTGTAAAACTAGCTGTATCTATATTAACTCTCCTCTCATTGCGTTTAGGAATTCAATGATTTTAAACAAAATATGACAAGGTTTGCATAAAGAATTTTTAACACTGAATCATTTAATGAACAATCAAATCTATGTTTTTGATGTTAGTAGTACGACTATTTAGATTATATATTCACCTCGCACTCGACTCGGTCATAATGCACTATTCATAGGAATATTTATTTTTGACGGTTTGAGACTACTACCGTTAGTCAGTTGTTCAATTCAATTCAATTTCTTTATTGATTCACCAAACATGTTGGCATACAACCATGTTACATACAAAAGACAAATGGATCAGTGAAGTCAACTATGAAGTGTATTATAACTTGAAGATTAAACATAATCATTATGTAAGCAGTATAGTATGGACAGTGATGAGCTAATAAATGCATTAAATATATATATATTATAATTGCCCTTTATTTTTGGAACGCAATTCAAAACATTCATATAAAAATTCACGTAGTCTTCTAGAATGAACTGCATTGTCAGGATTACAAAATACTTTACAATGATTTTCTTTCAATATGTTATCGTTAATTACAGATGTTCAAAGTACAGTACTTTTTTCGCAAATCTATATATAAAGGACAGTCATCATGAAATGTATTTCACTTTCTACAACAGTTTTACAATAGTGACAAAAGCGAGATTCTTTTGGGATACAAGGTTTTGAATATCTGCCTACTTCAATTTCTAAAGGATGTGCAGAAATTCTCAGTTAGAGTAAGATCCGAATATAACAAAGCTCAAATTACTGATATATCTTCCTCGTTTTTGTCCTAGTTCACAATGATATAAGCTTTATATAATATAATGCGTTTAAATTATCAATGACCTGGCAGGCAAACAAGTTGTGTAATCAAATTATTATTATTAATAGTCATATTATTACAAAAAGTATATATACCGGTATATATTTTTGGCAGCATAAGGTAGACTTTTATTTTTTAATAATACTTCCAAAACTTACAAAAAGCTTGAAGGGGGGGGGGGGGAGAGACCACATCGAAAAGACATACGAACGATTTAGCAAATATTTCCTGTTGTGAATGAAAACAAACACTTGTCTCTGAATCCGGACATTGATCGCAAGATTATGAATCAACGTACATAACATAGATGTTAAAAGAGGGAAATATCAACAATGTTGTCTGTAGTAGATGAAAGAGACATCGGATCATGCTCCAAACGGAAAATAGTCACAACTCTTATTGATATTTGCATTGTTGGATTAGGTATGTACATCACTCTACCTAGAAAAGTTCTAAATGTCACTAAGTTATGATTAGCTAGAAATCTGTCTTGAGTTTTAATGACAATATGACTAGGATGGACTACATTTCCCTTGAAATATAAATGATGGATTGCTTATAGGGAACCAATTATATGAGTGTATGACCACTACGAAATCAATTCTTATTGAAAGTGAAAGTGGAAAAATCAGAAATGTAAACATGTACTGTACAATGAATATGAAAATCACACTTGAAGAGAATATCGGAATTCAAGATGCATTGTTAAATGTTATAAGCTTCATTCCCAATATTAAACATTGTAGGTTCATTGTATCATGTTGAATTTTATTTAATTCATTGTTTTATTCATAAATAGCTGCAGTGCCTTTGTTGATATTTAAAGTATCAGTAACTCCATACCATAGAGGATTTTACTGTAATGACGACAGTATAAGATACCCTTTCAAATCATCCACAATAACCTCAGCAGCCCTCTACTCTATAGGCTTTGTCATCAACATTGTGTTGGTAAGATTTTACTTCCTCCTTTAAAAGTTATCTTGATGACACAGCTACACTAGAGAAAGAGAGAGAGAGAGAGAGCATGGGGAGAGGGAGAGAGAGAGCATAGAGAGAGAAAAAGAGAGCATGGAGAGAGAGAGAGAGAGAAAGGGGAAAGAGACTTGGATGTAAAGAGAGTGGGTGGGATATTTTGATTTTTAATTTCAAAACATGTATTTTGACGGGAATGAACCTTTTCTTCACACATACTTATTGCATAATTGACTTTCTATCTTATATAACATTATTTAATTAACTCAAACTGTACCTTTATTTTTTTTCCTTTAGAAAATATCATTGAATTGACTCAAATAATTGACTTTATTATTTTCTTGACAGATTCTCCTTTTTGAATTCATTCGTTACCAGTTTGGCAGCATCTACGGAGCCACAAATGGCGGCCCTGCTACAGAAAGCACCACCAGTTACACAGACAGCACTGTACAGACGGGCAGGTCAACCCGACGAAAAATCTTCCAGTATTTCTACAATGTGTACAGGGTGCTCCTCCCTTTTGTATTTGGTGCTGTGGTTGAACACCTGACAACAGACATTGGTAAATACAGTATTGGTCGACTTCGTCCTCACTTCTGGTCTGTGTGTCAGCCAGACCCCGCTAAGTACAACTGTGTGACAGGGTACATCACTGAGGATGTCTGTACAGGAGATCCATCTCGCATCAGAGAAGCAAGGTAAAAAATCTTAATTAAATTTAAAACAGTTACTGTAGTTAACTTGAGGCAAAGCACTTGAAACCTCAACTAGTTTTCTATAGATGAAATATGAAATACAGAATGTTAGAATCATATTCTTCATATAATTCAGAAATCTGACAAAAAATCTGTCTTTGTCCTAGTAAAATTGATTCATTTGAATATATATACCTGTATACAGTGTTGATGAGTCATTTTATTATTCAAAAGCTTATATTAAATATAAGACTGCCTACTTTTTGAAAATACTTTCTGAAGACAAAGCGAAAATGCTGAAAGTAAAATTGTGTCAAGCTTTTGATTATTTTACTTTTTCAGACTCTCATTTCCATCTGGCCATGCATCATTTTCTACCTATACAATGATGTTTGCCATGGTGAGCAGCATTTTTTTCTTTGTTTTAAAGTTAAGAGAGAATGTGTGATAATCTCTGTTGACTAACAGCACAAAAGTGAACATAAATTAAAGTACTCAATTAAACTTGGTAGTCCTACTTTACAGAAGAAATTTACAATAATGAAAAATGGATTAGAACTGAATAACTAAAGATGCTTCCTTGTGTTTGAAAAATGATTCTCATGCAAATAAAACTTTAATTTGTAGTTTAACTCAGATAAAAGTCTTCTATATAAATGAAAAAATTCTTGAACGGGAAGTAAAACATCATACTATCATTCAACCAAGATAAATGTTATATTTATATGGTACTATTGGTATTGTAGTTATACGTCCAGGCCCGCTTAAGATGGAGAATCATTAGTCTGTTGCGTCCGCTGATCCAGTTGATCTTGTTCTACCTTGCGTTTTATACCTGCCTGTCCCGAGTGTCTGACTACAAACATCACTGGAGTGACGTGCTGGGTGGGGCCATCATAGGGGTGGTCACGGCAATACTAGTGGTAAGTTCTACAAAATTACATATAACTCACATCATAGGGGTGGTCACAGCAATACTAGTGGTGAATTCTACAAAATCACATATAACTCACATCATAGGGGTGGTCACAGCAATAGTAGTGGTGAATTCTACAAAATTACATTAACTCACATCATAGGGGTGGTCACAGCAATACTAGTGGTGAATTCTACAAAATTACATTAACTCACATCATAGGGGTGGTCACAGCAATACTAGTGGTGAATTCTACAAAATTACATAAATATATAACTCAAGTCCTTCTCAACTTTCAGAGGCACAAAAGCACAGAGATTATTTTATGAGTGGACATTCATCATTTGAGTAAATGGTATTTCTGTATCATATTTAAGCTTATACTGACAGTTTCTTTTGTGTTAAAATGTATGATGAATTTGAGATTTACCCAAACAGGTTTTCAAAGTGTCTGACTTATTTGAGAAGGAACCAAGGGATGCCAACTCAGGCACTCCAGTCATTCAAAACATGGTGGTCCAAACTCCTGAGCACAGAACCATGGGTCTGCAACATTACACAGAAATGGGCGGTCCAGGTCCAAAGATTCAGCAACACAACTCCCACGTAATGACCAAGGGGTATGCTAACCCTCACTTTACTGCTGAGGATGAGGACGATAGATATTACATACCAAAGGCCAGGCATAGAAATGGTGTAGCACGGAGTTACACTGAAAATGACGTGGGGACAGAGGGAAGGATAGCTACACAGGTCTATTACATAGACGCAGGGTCTAGTCGCCATTCAGACAGCGAGGGGAATGCTACATTTTCTAAAATGACAACTCAGTTATAAAACATGGACATTTATCAATGTGTCACAAAATTACGTTCTAGTCGACTACCGGTACATTCCAATATTTTAAATCGATGCCAAAGAGTTTTAAATTATTGTACTATATACATGTATCTTTATCAGTCAAATTCCCATTATATATACCAGATCATTATGAATTTCAAATTAGTCAGCATATCAAATGGATGAACTTTTCATATATTAAAAATCTAAAAGCTATTATCCATAAAAAAATTTTCATTACATTTTTTTTCACTATGACTGATATATTTTTCCATGACATACAGCAATGAGATTTGTGTAATCTAATACAACTCAGGTTTTGTTGTTGTTGCTTTTTGAGAAAAAAAAAATTCACAAAAGAATAAATATTTTATGACTACATTTAATTGTCCATTGCCTTTCTCTCTTTATGTGCATAGCATAGAGAAATTTAGATCATCACATAAAATCAGTATGCTGAATAGATATCCCCATTATTAATTATCAAAATCCAATCAATGTCTATGTTGATCCATATATACATATGTATTGGTATGAAATGTTTTAATGTTTATATGTACATTTCTGTTGAACTGATGAAAAGTCTGGAGATTATTTTGATGTAAATTAAAGCTCTAAGTAGAAAATTGTTATCTACTTATTGATGTTATGCCATGTAAATCTGGACAATGCTGCCTCATTATTATGAAGTCATTCTCCTTATTCATTTTGGGGGAAGAATCCCATTTAAAAACTGTATTGAATGTATATACTAAAGACAATTTGAATGATATTTCAATGTGCAACCATGAAATTTAGAATTATATCTTAGACAGCTTTGTATTGTTTTTCCCCTTTGATTTTAACTGTTGTACTTGGGTATCTTTCTCAGTTTTTAATGGTCTTAACTTTCATTGCAATATTGTAGAATTTTCCAAGAAATTTTCAAAATGGATCAGCAACACTTATTTACTCCAACCAGAATTAAAATACATGTTAATCTTTCATGTAATTTATTTTGGGTTAAAAGATCACATATGGGTACATTCTGAAGGATTACAAAAATTTTAGGTATTGATTTAAGAGTAGCATTTTCCCCCATGATGTGTGTAGCATTGTAAATTATCTTCAATCAATTTTTAATTACATATTTTTATGTATATTACTCACATGTGTTTATATCAAATGTGCCACTTGACCCACCATCACAAAAAATTATAATGGACATATATGTACTTTACAGATTATCTTATGAATGGCTGAATGAAATTTTAACTCACCGTTAGAACAGGATTCTGACCAATGACAACACGGAAAGCAAACTAAAAATAACCTTCCAGTATTAAAATAAAGGCATCAATAGAGAAGGTGCTTTTTTCATACAATTTAAGCTACAGAATGTAAGCATAATTAGCGTGCTGGGTTTTTGTATACCACTGATAGTATTTTTATACAATCTGCAATCTTTTTCTTCATTTTTCCAGATATACATGTACACTTCGTCTTATTTTAGTATATATGTTTATCCTGCATTATTGAGGATGTGTATATAATTTAATAATTTGCCAATGATTGACCTACAATACACTGAAGAGAGGAATACTTAGAACACCTGTCTTCCAGAATTGAAGAAAAGTACCATACAAGTGGAAATTTAAGCGAGTCGCAAATTTAGCAATTCGTCCCTAACAATTTGTTTTCATTTTAAGCGAGATGTCAAGCGGGATATCATTTTAGCAATTATAAAATGCTCCCAGAAGAAACTATTACAAATACAATTAAGGCTATTAATTTTTAGCAGTATTCAAATTTAGCGATCTCAGCATCCTTGCTAATAATCCAAAAATTAAATCCTCGCTAAAAATTCTGTTTATATGGTATATTGCAGCTTTGATTAATATCATGGAATTTTTTGACAATTCTTAAACAAACCTTGCTGATACAGTAAAACACGGTTATAGCGAAGTCCTGGGGACCTGTTAATTTAATTCGCTATATCCGTAATTCGTTATATCCGTATAACGAATTCGTATAACCATATATAGCGAATTCGCAATATGCATGTTTTCCTTCTAGTGTTACTATCAAATATGTTAGGGAAGCAAATATTACAAAACATACCTTCGATAACTAAGGTTTTATTATGAATTGAATTTTATATACAAATGCTGAGAGAAAAGTAAGTCAGTTCATTCATTCAAATTTTGAAATCTTTGAAAGTTTGTTATAAAAGATGTAAAATCCATTATATTTAACCTCAACGGGACTCAAAATCAGTTCGCTACATCCATAAATTCGTTATATCAGAGTTCGTTGTAACCGTAAAATTTTACAAAGATTTGTTAAGAATTTTGCCGGGGACCCAGAAACACTTTGTTATATCCGTGAATTCGCTATATCCGTGTTCGTACTAAACGTGTTTTACTGTATATTGCAATAATTGTATTACAGGTGGCACAGGTCATCTCTGCTTCAGCTATCAGATCTGTATCAATTTTAATATCAAAACAAAATACTGTGAAAGAGTGATTCTATACTTTAAACAAGAATCTTTTTTGTGTCATGTACATTTGTTGTATTACTATATAATACCACCATAATTATACTTTTGTTAGCTGTTATGTACATTTATACTATTGTATATGTATACAGGATTAAAAACAATCAAAAACTACAATTATTCTATGTCTGTCACAAGTATAAGCAATCTTTGTACTAATTTAAAATAGGAGTACAAATTATAGCCCAGACGGGAATTTTTCTTACACTTTTTTCCGTCAGTGAACTTTGCAGGAGTCAAGGTCAAGACATGCCAGTGGATCATAAGCAATGTCTGTATGAAGTACTGTAAAAGTACATTTTTCCGCGTGGTATTAATTTATGCTATGTACGCGGTAACAAATTTTCCGTAGAAATTTATCCAAGCGAACTTAATATAAATGTAAGGCATATAGTGACAATCCAGAAAATCCGCGTAATTTTCTACCTGCGGATTGAACAGAAATTGAGATTCTGCGGAAATCTGACCCTGTGGAAAAAAAGTACGTATACAGTATGAGCTTCATCGTTTCTCAGTTACAAAGAGATAGTTTGAAACATGTTTTTTTTTTTTTTGTCCAGTGACCTTGAACGTGCTAAAATGAACTAAACACAAGCTCCGTTGGGTCTTAAGCAATTTCTGTACCAAGTACAAGATTCCAGTGATTCACCACTACAAAGTGAATCACAAGACAAAAATATACTTTTTTTGTCAGTGACCTTGAAATTACTTGTATGAACTTGGATCAAGGTTTTGACACACCTTTAGGTCATAAGCAATATTTGTACTAAGTATGAGCTGCCAGTGCTTCTCCATTACAAAGTTAAAGTGTGGATAATATTACACAGACAGACAGACAAGGTGATTCATATATACCCCTCCCAACTTCATTTATACTTATCATCATAATCATTTCATTTTACATTAATTACAATATATTACTGGCAAATCATTTCCAGCTGTCATCTTAACAACTGAAACATGACACTCAGCAATTTGGTTTTTGGGATATTAAAAGAAATATATTACTTACAGTGTTTTCACATTATTTCAAAGTAAAAGGTTAGAGATAAGTTGTAACAGGCTAGGGACTGATGTGTATGAACAAAATCTGTTGACCTTACAATAAATCCTTATTTTAAAGAGGTATTGTTAATTGAAGCGGTCAGTTTGGCCAGTAACCAGTTCCTAGGGAAAACACTGTACTAGTGGTAAAATATTGGGTAACTTGAACCTTTCTCCCTCTATTTTGTTCCCAGAGTAGGTACTGATAAATCCCTTTACTGACATTATTATTTTACTCAAAGGCAACATTTTTGACCATCCTTCGTGAATCTTTGTTTATTCATGAATGCTGGCATTGAACAGTGTTCTCTATCCATATCCTGATACTGTATCACATGACATTTTAATGGAAATATAACATGATGTCAAATGCATTTTATAATTTAATGGACATATCAAGCATTCCATTAAGGACAATATAACATTTACAATAAAATACTCAATATATACATTAATAGCACTAAAACAAGTAAACCAACCTTTCCTTTGTTAAGTATCATGCTTGGTTTATAATAGCGGGGAGAAAAACCAGAGTCTGTTGTCCTGGTTAACAATTGCAACAAGTGTCATTTTAGCATGAAAAAGTTCGTTTTATTTGTACATTTCACTTGAAGTTGGATATCTCGGTGAATTTATGGTAACTCTTCAATGATGGAGGTGAGATTATTTATTTCATATTAGCTCTTCAATGGTGGAGGTGGGATTTCTCAGTGAATTCTGGTCAACTCTTCAATGGTTTTTACCAAGTCATCCACAGTTGCCTCCCTCTTCATGCCACTCCCATCATCGATCTTGAAAAAAAAATCATACAAGTTACTGTGCACTGTCATAAAACTCATCTATATACATGATGTATTCAATTTTCTTCAAAATCTTGCATCTTTTCATTGCATCCAAAAAAATTTTTTTAGGGATGCCTTTTGTAGAGTTCACCATTGAATTTTGTGTTTGTACCTGTAGGCCTTTGACAGTTTCCTGCATTTTGTCTCTGTTCAGATCTAAGAAACTCTCTATCAGATCCCCATCAATAAAACCTTCGCAGGCCTCAGTCTTCCTCTCAGTATGGAATGATCGCCAACTGATGGAGGTCAAGGAGTTTAATGGGAACAGAATTAAAACTGTAAAATCTTACCCAAATCAAGTCCATTTTATTAGGAAAATGCATCTCTGTCAAAACCTCTTCATCTATTTAGGTTTTTAGTATATCATGGTCAGATGTTTAACGAATGAAAAAAATTATCAAAGGTAATTTTTTTTTGTTAAGGATACAATGAGTGCTCTATCTTTCCAACACTTTTGATAACTTTAGCCAGCCTTGACTGAACATCTTGCAGGAAAGTGTAAAATTCTTGTGGCACCTGTGTTACCAAACCTGCAATATACATGGGAATGTTAATGTAACTAAAAATCGTGTACAAACCTGAAAGGATTAAAACGAATAATAATGTGCTGCCCTAACTTAAAATCACGTATTTTTATGGTCATTCCTGCGTGGTACTTACCCACGGCCCCGTTAACTGTTCCATACAACACAGAACCTTGAGTAGGTGTGCTGGTTTCTCCAGTGTGCTGCATCACCAGGGACCCTAAAACACATGGAGTA